TTTTTTTTTTTTTTTTTTTTTTTTTTTTTTTTGTAGAGATGGGGCTTTACCATGTTGCCCAGGCTGGCCTCAAACTCCTGGGCTCAAGCAATCTGCCCATCTCATCCTCCCAAATCGCTGGGATTATAGGCATGAGCCACCAAGCCTGACTGTACCTTATCTTAACTAGTTGTATCTGCAAAAGCCCTATTTCCAAATAAGGTCACACTTTATTTATTTATTTATTTATTTATTTATTTATTTAATTTTTAGACAGGGTCTTGCTCTGTCACCCAGGCTAGAGTTCCGTGTGGTGCAATCATAGCTCACTGTAAACTAGCTCCTATGCTCAAGTTATCCTCCTACCTCAGCCTCTCAAGTAGCTGGGACTACAGGCATGCCACCACCATGCCTAACTAATTTTTTTTTTTTTTTTAAGTAGAGATGGCATCTCACTATATTGCCCAGGATGATTTTGAACTCCTAGGCTCAAGTCATCCCCTGGCCTTGGCCTCCCAAAGTGCTGGGATTACAGGCATGAGCCACTGCACCTGGCCCTGGGTCACACTCTGAGGTTACAGGTGAACATCGAATTGTTGTGGGAGCCCCTATTCAATCCACTACAGGGGTCTACAGTTTCCACTTGACTAAAAGTGTCATTAATACTCAATTGTCAAAAGGCATGTTATTCTGTTTGGAGCATGTGGAGCAAGTATACTAGGTTTGAGGGACTTCCAATTGAGAGACTCAACGCACTGTCGCACAACTTCATACAAGCTTTATTTCATTTTAGTGTGAAAATGTATTTTTCTCTCATGGGAAGGATGCAGAATATCAGGATTTTATTTTATTTTATTTTATTTTTTTTGAGACGGAGTCTTGCTCTGTCGCCCAGACTGGAGTGCAGTGGCCGGATCTCAGCTCACTGCAAGCTCCGCCTCCCAGGTTTACGCCATTCTCCTGCCTCAGCCTCCCAAGTAGCTGGGACTACAGGCGCCCACCACCTAGCCCGGCTAGTTTTTTGTACTTTTTAGTGGAGACGGGGTTTCACCATGTTAGCCAGGATGGTCTTGATCTCCTGACCTCGTGATCCGCCCGTCTCGGCCTCCCAAAGTGCTGGGATTACAGGCTTGAGCCACCGCGCCTGGCCCAGAATATCAGGATTTTAAAGAGAGAAGCAGAACTTAAAGAAATCCCCACATTTTTACAACATAGCTGAAGCTTATATATTGTAATAGTACACAGGTTTGTACTTAGGACTTTTGCTTTAACCATGATCCAGCAGGGACGGGAATATAATTATTTAAGAAGGCTGTAACCAAGTGAATTCTGGATTAAACTGTCATTTTTCCAATCTCCCTCACTGTGCAGAGAGAAAAGAGAATTGTTTCAATACTTCACACAATGCTCTTATCTCATCCTTGGCAAGAACCCTCATGCCTCTTCTTTGGCCCTTTAGGTGAGGGGCAGCTCACTACCTCCTGAGACAACCCACTTTACCCCAGGACAGTTTCATTTACAAAACTGTCCTTTTCTTTCTTTTTTAAGTCAGGGTCTTGTTCTGTCACCCAGGCTGGGGTGCAGTGGCACCATTATGGCTCACTGCAGCCTCAAACTCCTGTGCTCAAGTAATCCTTCTACCATAGCCTTGCAAGTAGCTAGGACCACAGGTGTGTACCACCATGCCCGGCTTGCTTATTTACTTAGAGATGGGGCCTAGTTATGTTGTCCAGCCTGATCTCCAACTCCTGGCTTCAAGCGATCCTTCTGCCTCAGTCTTCTGAGTTGCAGAATTCATAGGTGTGAGCCATGGTGCCCAGCAAAACTTTCCTTAATAAGTAGGTTTTATCACCCCCATGCTTCAGACTAGAATATGGGGCTTAGAGAGATATCATATCATGCAGACACATGGTGAAAACACTAGAAGGATATATATATAAGAGATGTTATAAGGCCAGGTGCAGTGGCTCATGCCTATAATCCCAGCACTTTGGGAGGCCGAGGCGGGTGGATCACGAGGTCAGGAGTTTGAGACCAGCCTGGCCAACATAGTGAAACTGTCTCTACTAAAACTACAAAGATTGGCAGGGCACAGTAGCTCACACCTGTAATCCCAACACTTTGGGAGACCAAGGTAGGTGGATCACGAGGTCAAGAGATCGAGACCATCCTGGCCAACATGGTGAAACTGTCTCTACTAAAAATACAAAAATTAGCTGGGCGTGGTGACACCACCTGTAATCCCAGCTACCCAGGAGGTTGAGGCAGGAGAATCGCTTGAACCCGGGAGGTGGAGGTTGCAGTGAGCCGAGATCGTGCCACTGTACTCCAGCCTGGTGACATAGTGAGACTCCATCTCAAAAAAAAAAAAAAAAATAGCTGGGCATGGTGGCGTGTGCCTGTAGTCCCAGCTACTCGGGAGGCTGAGGCAGGAGAATCGCTTGAACCTGGGAGGCAGAGGTTGTGGTGAGCCGAGATCATGCCATTGCACTCCAGCCTGCGCAATGGAGCAAGACTCCATCTAAAAAATAAATAAATAATAATAAAAAAAAGATGTTATGTGATTTTCTTAATTTTCCCCCCAATTTTTTTCTTCCTTTCTCTCTCTCTCTTTTTCTCTCTTTCTTTCTTTTATTGAGATGGAGTCTCGCTCTGTCACCCAGGCTGGAGTGCAATGGCCCAATCTCCACTAACTGCCACCTTTGCTACCCTAGGTCAAGCGATTCTTGTGCCTCAGCCTCCCAAGTAGCTGGGACTATAGGTGTGTGCCACACCTGGCTTTTTTTTTTTTTAATTTTTTATTTTTAGTAGAGAAGGAGTTTGCCATGTTGGTCAGGCTGGTCTCTAATTCCTGACCTCAGGTGATCCACCCACCTCAGCCTCCCAAAGTGCTGGGATTACAGGCGTGAGCCACTGCACCTGGCCTCCTAAAATGTTTTAAGTACAAACGAATTAATTTTTTAAAACCATGATTATGGGTCCTTCAGTTCAAGGTCACTGAGAAAGTGGGAGTCAGGATTGGAACCCATTACTGGACAACTTCCAGTGGATGTGGAATTTTCTGGATTCTCTTTCAGTGACCCCAATCTTCCACCTTTATTGTCCTTCCAGTTTCAGGGCTCCTCTCACTCCAGGCTGGGCCTCCACCTCCGCTGTGGCCCTCATCCCAGAGACTAGGACAGAGCAGAGGAGGGCTTCATAGTGATGGGCCCCCAGGCCTGGGGCCTTAAGTGAGGCTGGCATCAAGGCATCCTGTGGCATACGCCTCCCCATCCAGTTCCCTGGGCAGCCACCATTGCCTTTGTCCCTCTGTCCCTGGTATTAACACCTGGCAAGGAAGTGTTGGAAGGAGACCCACTACAAGGCAGCCTCACCAGCTGTGTGATTTGGTTATTTGGCCATATTAAGGAAGGAAAGCGCGTCGGCCTGGAGTGTGGAATGAACGTACAGAGTGATTATTACCCTTATCAGCGCTGCCGTCACTGTCGCCGCATGTGAGACACCCCCTCTTCCCCAAGGCCAGTGATTGCGCCAGAGCTCCTGCGCGCTGGCAAGCAGGTGACGCCGCGGGTGACGGCCAGCCAGGGCGGGGGTTGTGGGGGCGGGAGGCAAGGGGAGAAGAGGGCATGTTCGCGTCGGTGAGGCGAGAACTCACCCGTGATCCCAAGCAACGAGGGCGGGGGGCACCCTCCATCTTTACCGCACTCCCTCAGGGCACACACTGGCGCGCTCCGCGTCCTCAGGTGCTCCAAGCTTCCCCGCGTCACCAGCAGCCAGGGCGCCCCCCGCGACGCCGCCATTCATTCCTCCTACACTGCGAGCGCACCACTCCAGAGCCGGGGGAGCCGCAGGGCGCGGCGGGCTCTTCGAGTCCGCATTTCGGCGCCAGCCACCGGGCTAGGGCTGGGGATGTCTGCCCTGGTGCGCGCTGCGTCGGCCCAGTTACTATAGACCCCTCCCAGGAGAGACTGAAATACCCAGATTCAGGAGACAGAGATACTGTGGCACATAGATACAGGAGCCAAGAATGAAGATAGATAGAGAAAGGTAAAGACACTTAAGGGACAGGCATAGACAAAGGCCATAACACAGCGAAAGAGATATGGGGCACAGAGATCGAGATACAGACACTTAGAGATGGACTGACACATATAAAGGTGGAGAAAGAGACACAGACGGGCAGTCAGAGACGCACAGACCCTGAATATCTACTTAAGACCAGCAGAGCAACTAGTATAAGAGCGCGCCAGCGGCGAGGGCACCATCCACTGGCCCGAGCTCTTCCCGCGCTGTGGGTTCGTGCCTTCCCCAGTCACCCTGTACCCGAGTCTCCTCCCCACGCGTTTCCCGCTCCCCGTTTTCCATTGCCAGCCCTGCAGCCGCCTTCCCGCCCCAACGCGCCTGGTCAGCTTTTGCCCCCCTGCTCCCAGTTCCCCTTGCACGCCTCTTCCAGCCTAGGGGTCAGACCCTCCCCCAAGCTCCTCCAGTACCAGGCTGGATCCCACCCCCCTCCGGTCCCGCCTCTCCCCGCGAGGTCCTGGCCGGGTTGGCTGGTACTATTCCCCAAGACCCACGTGCCGGTCATTCCCCGCCACAGTGCAGGAACCTCCCACTCCAGCTGCCTCGGCTCCCCGGGTAGCTGGGCGCGCTCCTGCCCCCGGCCCCGCCTCTTTCCCCTGGCCAGTGCCCGCCCCGCCTCTACCGCGCCCCGCCCGCCGTGCTCTGCCGCAGTCGGGCGCTCATCGTCATTCCGCTCTTGCCGCCGCCGCCGCCACCCCCGCCCCCCGCCCCCGCCCCCGCCCCCGCCCGGTCCCCGCCACCGCCGCCGCCGCCGCCTGCCCAGCGGCCCGGGAGGCGGAGGCGCGGGGGAGGAGGCCCCGCTTGGCTCCTCAGCCCCGGATGCTGCATGACTTCATCCTTCCGCCGGCTCCCCTGCTGAGCTAGGGCCGGTCCGGCAGCAAGCCCGCCGCCCGCGCCCCGCCGCAGTCCCACTCCCGCCCCGCGCCCACCCCGCGCCCGCCATGTCCGAGATCCTGCCCTACAGCGAAGACAAGATGGGCCGCTTCGGCGCAGACCCCGAGGGCTCCGACCTCTCCTTCAGCTGCCGCCTGCAGGACACCAACTCCTTCTTCGCGGGCAACCAGGCCAAGCGACCCCCCAAGCTGGGCCAGATCGGCCGAGCCAAGCGAGGTACGCGGCCCGGGCCCGGAGTCGCCGCCTGACCCAGAAACCCTCCGCCGGGCGCCCCCCGGCTGCCGTTCCCCGCCGAGTGCCCGCAGCTCTTGCCGCAGACCAGCGCACCAGCCGCTCTCCGGCCCGGGCTGGAGGGGGGGTCCCCGCTGCAGTGTGTGTCCCCCTCTTCCCTTCTCCCGGGAACACGGTGCCCCGGATTCGATGCTCGCCACCTCTGGAAGCAGAGCCCTGGCACCCGGGCGAGGGGGAGGGGCCGGTCGGGGCATTTGGGGCTGCTTGGAAGTGGGAACACGGGGTAACGGGCTGATTCTTTGGGATCAAATACTGAGTCGGTGGACAATACGAAGAACCTTCGGGTCGAGAGGGACGTCTAACAAGAGAGGGGAGGAGGCCGGGGGTCCGCTTGTCTTGGTTGTTTGCATGGGGAGGGGAGCTCTGTTGGTGCCAGGATCGGAAGAGGGGTTCCAGCGGCGAGAGGTCTCAGGTTGAGGAGAGGGCTGGACCAGCTGGATACTCGGTTTGAGCCCCATTTGAGGAGGGGGATCTGTTGAAGTGCAGGTTGAAGAGGGGGATTCCATGAGCAAGAGGTTTCTGATCAACTCAGAGGGAGGAAGGCTCAGGTGTCAGGAGGGCTTGCACTGGGAGGCAGAATAGCTAGAGCCTTTGGAAGAGGGGCGTTCCGCCATCGGGAGGGGAGGGGGTCTGTGGGACCGAGGCTTGGCGACGGGTTGGGTCTCCAGGAGAGTTCGGACGGGGAGGACACAGCAGCGCAGGGTTCCGAGGGGCGTCGCTGGGCCACGGGCAGTAGCTGCGCGGGACGCTAGGACGCGGGGCTTATTCTCGCCGCCGCCCCCCGAGGCCGCGCGGCTGACGCGCTTTCTCCCTGCGCAGTGGTGATCGAGGATGACCGGATAGACGACGTGCTGAAGGGGATGGGGGAGAAGCCGCCGTCCGGAGTGTAGACGTGCCGGCTCTGGCGGCGGGCTCCGGGCCCAGCCTCGCAGCGGCCAGGAGCGCGGGCCGGCGATGCGGCTGCCGGCGCCCCCCGCCCCGGCCCAGGCGCCCGCGGGCGGGGGCTGCAGGGCCGTGCGGCCGCCGCCGCCAGGCACTCCGGAGCTGTCCGCTTCAGCACCACGGCGGCCGCGGTAGCGGCGGCGCGGACCCGCCCGGAACCCGCCGCCGCGCTCATGCACTTTAAAACCTCGGGCCGCAGCCCCACCCCGCACACCGGAACGGACACGGAGACCCGCGGCCCCCAGCCCCCTGCCCGCCCCCTCCCGCACGGCTCCCCTGCCCCGCCCCCCTCCGGCCAGTCTGGTCTGCAGACCGGGCGGCCGCCGGTGTCGGACCGCAAGCGGCCAGGGATGTTTGGCTGCGTACTTGCATGAGCTTTCTACCCACCTGAGCCCAGTCCTCCGGGCCGTTCCTCACCCCCACCCCTGTCTGGCGTGACCCCAGCCTCAGCCTCTTTCTAAGGGACTTCCTCAGCACATTTGTATTTTTATATCCGACTCTTTGTTTACTGGCTCTGCTCATGGTTCCTGCCCTCCCCTCAGTCTCGGCCACGCTCTTCTGCGCCTGGCAGATAGGATGGGTGTTGAGGCTGGGGTGAGACAAGCCCCCCAACACGGTTACCAACCACATGGCCAGTCTGCCCAGGCCTGACCCAAGAAGGCTCTCTGGCAGACCCCTTCTCCCCAAGGTATCATCACCTTCCAAGGGCCCAGATCCGATTTTACCTTGGACCCCTGCGTCTTGCCCCTGGGAACCCAACTGGGGACTGCTCTGCACCTCTGGATGACATCTGTGGCCCTGGAGATGTTCTCAACCCAGAGGTGCCCTTTGTAAATGCTCCTCCATCCTCACTGTACCAGGAGTGTGTGAATAAACACAGACCTCCCTGTGTGTGTGTGGCGCTGCTTAGGTCTCAGGAGCCAGGCCAAAATGGGAGGAGGGGCAGGTACTTGGGAATCTCAGGTGCATGTTGCTGGTGAGGGATGGTTGTCAAGTAAGACAGGCAGGCCAGCCTGGCCTGGGAACATCATTATGATGTGGCCTCCTTGGGTACAGATACAACCCAGGTGGGACTGGTCACCAGTGTTCGGGATGGAGCTGGGGTGAGAAACATAAAGCAATCTAGGTTCAAAATCTGCAGTCTCCTGTGGAAAAATCAAGGCTAGATGAGGATCAGTAACAGGCCCCAGGGACAAAGGTCTCCAGGCTGGCTGGTGTGCAGAGGGGTTATGCTGAGCTTTGCCCCAGGGGATGCATCACTGCTGGCTTGGTGTGGTGGCAGAGGACGTTGGGGAACCCAGAAGAGAACTGAGGAACCCAAGAAAGAAGCAAGAAATCTGGGATCTAGTTGGAGATGGGCTGTATTGGTTCATGTGGGTTCGCTCCCACCCTCTATCTTAGGCATGAGGCCCCTGGGATGTAAGCACCTTGGACCCAACCCCAAGTCCTGAGTCAGGAATTCCAACTACCTGAGGAGCCCAGGGCAGAATGGCAGGAAGGGTGGACCATGCTCTGGCCTCAGAGCTGAATGGCACTAAGGAAGTCCTCATTATCTGAATCCTGAAGGAAGCAGGGTGAGGTGGGTGGTCTGGGGGGTGAGAGGATTTGGGCCCCCAGAGCCAGTTGGGCCACACTGAGCTCCCCGCCCTTGTGCATGAGGTAGAGATGGAAGTGGAAACCGCTGCCATAGGTAGCATGCCTCAGGGACCAGCCATAACAGGCTTGGGCATAGTGTCTGGTCCGAAAGTGGGGGGCAGCAGAAGTCATTGAGATGAACCGGCCTCCAGGGACCAGCACGCGGCTCACCTGCAAGGCAGACACAGAAGCCATTGGTGAGAAGTGGATCTTCAGGTTCTCAAAGGTCAGTACTGCTCCAGATGCCCTCCCAGTCAAACCTCAGGAACCACCCCTCATCTGTAGCTCAGGCAAAGAGTGAGCCACTTTCTCTGCCCCAGTCATTCCTTGGGATTAGGGCTATATTCTATTCAGGGAGGGGTATAGGAGTGATATCAGGTACCGGGGCACCACTTTCCTATAACTGCTCACCTTGGCAGTCTCTGTCACCCATCAGGAACCTGGCTACCGCATCCCTATGGCAACCTGGTAGCCACACATCAGCCTTTGTGAGCCTGGCTATTCCAGTCACCTCTATAATCTCGACCCCGCTTAACCCTTCCCTTCCTTCAGAGAGCCACACTCCTGAGGGCAACCCACTACTTGTTCCAAAACATGCTTCTGGCTTCTGATTTCTTCCAGTCCCATGAAACCTCAACCCCACAGCCCCACCTATTGATCTGCCTTCCTGTCTCGTTGCTCCCTCACCTCACTCAACACCTGGTCCACAGTATGGACACCTTCAGAGGACACGGTCCAGGGATCTTGTTCCCCAGATAGCAGGGCATCCAGTGTGCCCTTCTCGAGCACCACATCAAAAGAAGCACTGGGGAAGTCCAGCTTCCGCACATCCATGGTCTCCCAGCGCAGCTGCGGCACATGGACATAGCGAGCCTGCATGGCAGCCACCACGACTGACGAGTAGTCCACACTGGTCACATCAGGGAAGCCTCCAAGGAACAGCTCATAGCTCAGGGCACTGTTCCCACAACCTGGGGTGGGAGGGGATGGGTGGCAAAAGAGCTACGTTAGTTTTGGTTCTCACCTCCCCCTGAATATCTATCCACTCTTGGCCCCGTTTTCTCTCAGTCCAAACCCTCCAGTACTGAGAGGAGGTGGTAGAGTGCAGAAAAAGCACAAGCCTTGGAATCACACAGGCCTGGGTGCAAACCCTGGCTCTCTCACTCCTAGCTGTGTGGGCTGGAACAAGTTGTTTAAATACTAGAAACATGGATTTTTTTTTTTTTTTTTTTTGAGATGTCGCCCAGGCTGGAGTACAGAGGCACAATCTCGGCTCACTGCAACCTCCACCTCCCGGGTTCAAGTGATTCTCCTGCCTCAGTCTTCCGAGGAGCTGGGATTACAGGTGTGTGCCACCATGCCTGGCTAAAACTTGGATATCCTATTCAGAAAAATGAAGATAATAATACCTAGGCCATATGAAGGATGTGATGCATTAAACTTAACAACTAAGAACTAGGGGCCGGGCGTGGTGGCTCACGCCTATAATCCCAGCACTTTGGGAGGCTGAGGAGGGCGGGTCATCTGAGGTCAGGAGTTCAAGACCAACATGGAGAAACCCCATCTCTACTAAAAATACAAAATTAGCCAGGCTTGGTGGCACATGCCTGTAATCCCAGCTACTCGGGAGGCTGAGGCAGGAGAATCGCTTGAACCCAGGAGGCGGAGGTTGCAGTGAGCCAAAATCATGCCATTGCACTCTAGCCTGGGTGACAAGAGCGAAACTCCGTCTCAAAAAAAAAAAAAAGAAAGAAAAGGAAAGAACTAAGAGCTGTAGAGTAGCTGAAGGAGCTCTAAAGTTAGGAGTTCAGAGATTAAGGTTCTGATATTCCTAGTCACACAGCCACAGCAAATCATTCAATTCTTTGAGCCTCAGTTTCCTCAAATTCAAAATGGGGATAATACTGGTATCATTAGGACCGCAACATCATTGGTAGCATAATAATGATATAAGTTAGCATTATCCTAATCCCCAGCCTCTTAGAAAACCTTAGAAGGTATCAACCCTGGGAAGGCTTCATGTTAGGGGTTATTCTACTTTGTTTTCCAAAACAGAATTAACAAGTGAAGGGGAAACTAGGTGGGGACACACAGTGGAGCCAATCACTTCCTTGCGATATTTTTTTGTTGTTTGTTTGCTTGGTTTGTTTTGTTTTTTGAGAGAGAGTTTCATTCTTGTTGCCCAGGCTGGAGCGCAGTGGCGCAATCTTGGCTCTCTGCATCCCGGGTTCAAGCAATTCTCCTGCCTCAACCTCCTGAGTCGCTGGGATTACAGGCATGCACCACCACGCCCAGCTAATTTTGTATTTTTAGTAGAGACAGTGTTTCACCACGCTGGTCAGGCTGGTCCTGACCTCAGGTGATCCACCTGCCTCGGCCTCCCAAAGTGCTGGAATTATAGGCACGAGCCACCACACCTGGCTGCAATTCTTAACATATGTATTGAGCACTACATATTAGGCTCTGCCAATGAATAAATGTCCCTGTCCTCAAGGAGCTCCTGCTCCAGTAGGAGGAACAAATGTGTAATCAGACAGTTGCTGCAAAACATGATGAGTGTTTCAATAGGGACAGGCTGTGAGAGTACGCAGGAGGGTCTGGACCTCACCTCAGGTGAGTCAGCCAAGAGTTTCCAGGGAGGTGACAACCAAGCAAAGTCTTGAAAAACGGAGTCTTGACAACTTCCCAACACTCTGGCGGGAAGTGCCTGGAAAGCAGTCCCAAAGTGGGTAGGGTCAGGATGGAGAAGGGATAGAGGTGAGAGGAGTGGATGTGGATCTATAGTCCAAAGGGCATGACTTCCTTAGAAGATCCAGTGGCCTCTTCTAGGCCCTCCTATGGCCAGTCCCAGCTGGGAGCAGCCCCAGGCTGGGGATCTTCAGCTCTTGGGATTAGGTTTCCTTTAATCCCCACTTGCCTCCCTAAGAGGATCACAGGATCAGCAGTTGGGATAGCCCTAATCTATCAGGGTTTGGCACCTGGACAACATACCCAGAAGCAGCTGGCTGCTCCCCAGCTGCCCCTTCTCATGTTCCTCTTCAAGCCCTGGGGCTCAAGGAAAACTATCTTGCCTAGGAGAAACCAACACGTGCTTCCCAAAGTTGAAGCCACAAAAAGCCCTGGTAGATACAGCACATGGGATGGGGGTAAGGGTGGCAGAACCTGACTTAGTTCCAGGCTGAAATCCCACTGGGTTTGCTGACCCACAATCCCTTCATTACCCCCACACCTGACCTCATATACCTGTAGAGCTCTGCCAAACTGTGGACAAATCCAGATTTCCTTCCTTTGTTCTCCTTAGCACAGGATGGCATCTTCCAAGAGA